TATCTCGTGTGTATTTTTCTTAAAAATAATATATATATATATATATATATATGCTCTTATTTATGAAATATTAATTTTTATAAAGTATAAAAAATATTTATACTAGATATTGAAATTTGAAAATTTATTAAATTCAGAATTATTTCAATTGATCAAATACTCAAAGATAATGATAATAAATAATAAATATAAAAAAAAGGATTACTCTAAATCCATTAGAACTCTTCTAATATATCTTTGCCTTTTTAATATAAGTGATAGCACCTACCCTCATAAAAAATGCTCTTAGTACTCTCAGCTCTTCACCCTTTAAATTTTAATGATGATATCTAAAATCCTTGAAAAATGCTTTAATTATTCTCATCTAAAAAGATAAAAATAACTAATTATTTGAATGTTACATCAATTTGAAACAAATTTAGAGTCTTTTTGGGGCAGCTGCAACTTATTAAAAAACAATTGTGAAGCTGCTAAACGATATTCTGCGACGACTATTACTTTGTTTTTTTTTTAAGTCAGATTGTAGCTAGAAAGTTGAAACCGTACCTAGTCAGGAGTGATGGGAAAACATTAGTGAGGAGTGATGGGAAAACGTAGACTTTAGCCGTAGTTTTTTTGAAAAACCGCTAAAATGCAATACAAACAAAATTGTGGTATCAGACAAAATTGTAGTACAGTACCATGCTGCTACCGTGTCATTGCCCCAAACAATAATGTTTACATTAATTTACATACCACTCGATGATATCTGATAAAAACACCAATCATTAGTTTTTTGATAAAGATATGTAAGTTTTCAAGCATACATTTTTAATATTAAATTACTTTAAATATAATATTAAGTTTTACATGTTACATATAAATACATAAGAGCTTTCATGAATTTTATCCAAATTAATGTTTTGATCAGAATATATGACACCTCTTAATTGCCTACTAATTAAAAGTCTCATTAGATAAATTAAAATGATTCAAAAAAAATTATAGTATTTAAAATAAACTTGAGATGAATAATCATAATATATTGGGTCTGAATGCTCGCGACTTGAGCTTCATTAATTTTATCAAATTCGAGCTCGAGCTTAAGTCTACAAGTTCGAGCCAACTCAAAAGCCGTCTCATTTATTATAAAAGATAGAAAATAATAATAATCTTAAATAATACTAATCTAAGGTGATTTTATTATAAAATTACAATTAGAATCAACAAATAAAAGAGAAATACAAATCACTTAATATAAAAAAAAAATTATTTTTTTAATATTTTTAATATTTTAAAAATATAATTTTCTAATTTAAGAAATATTAAGTATATTTTATATTAATATTTTTTTTAAAATGAAGCTACACACGACCACAACCCTAATGCACACAACAAAGCCAAACAAAAGGTAACATTTTTACCAAAATTAAATCATCATTAAGTACATAATAACACACTAATAAGCTCCAACATCGCCCCCAAGATTATAATCACAACACTAATAAGACAAAAAAAAGAATTTTTAAAAAGAAAAAAAAACAGAAAACAACCCCAAAATCAAACCTTTTTTCAGCAAGAACAAATTCAAGAGAAATTGCTTACATCACAATCCGTTCCGACAAATCCGGCGGCCAAAGAAGTGGAGTTCCCCGGCGCCGGAACCCTCAAATCGCAATCCACATCCGGCTTAAACTTCACGCTCTCCACCACGATCATCTTCAACCTCACCGTCACATACATCTTAACCCTAATTCTGAAGAACCCCTCCCCCTTCTCCCTCCCATAATTATCTCCGGCCGCCGTCTCCCTCCGCCCCTCAAATCTCACCCCCACCGGCATCGAGCTCTTCCTCTGCTGCCGCAGCGGCGAGAGCCTCATGGACTCGATCTGGTACCCGCCGTATAAAGCCTGAACATCCACGCGTTCGTAATAGATGCTGTACTTACGATTAGGGTTTCGGAAAGTGAAATTGACGGCGAGGTCGTAGGCGAGGAGGGTGTTGTTGTCGACTACGGAGAGATTGAAGGTTGATAGGGAGGCGGATTCGGCGTATACCTTTATGCTCTGGGGCTGATAGATGAGCCAGAGGGCGAGGACGATGACGCCGATGATGATGAGGAAGACGGTGGTGACTTTGGTGATGGTGCAGAGCAAGGAGTAGACGTCGAAATTGAATTTCAAGGGTGTGGGGGAATTGCGAGGTGGGGGTTGGGAGGGAGGGATCGGGGGGCCGTAATATGGTTCGTTTAATTGAAATTCCTTGGATTCGGCCATTAGGGTTTGGGGGGGAGAAGGGGGATTTAGAGAAGGAGAGGGCTTAGGGAGAATATAATTTAGGGTTGTTGAGAGTTTTAGAGTTTTAGAAATACTATCAACTGAGGAAGAGGAAGAGGGGGGTAAGAGTTGAGTTTGACTACTGCTATCCTGCCGTATTATTTAAGACTTGGGCCGTTTTTTTGGCGAATTTAAGTGGTTCATTATATATATATATATAGGGATTTTAAATTCTAAAATTCGGCCAGAAAAAAAAAAATCAGCTTAAATTTAATCTCGCATTTAATTTTAATTTATTTAAAAAATATTAAATTTTGGAGAATTTTAAGTACACTTGTTGCTGAGGCAGTAGCACACCACCCACCGTTGCTCGTATCCCATCTTTGTCTATTGTTGTTCGCTCTTGCTAACATCAGGAATTGCACTTTGATCACTCCTGCCATGGTTGACGACCATCATTGGTTGTCATTGCTGGTTTGTTGTTGCCACTGGCGACCAACTAGTTATTGTCATCCTAGCTGTCACCGCTAATTTATAATAACCCGTCATCACTAGGATTCTATATTTATTTTATTCTGAATCGAACAACTAAAAAATATTACAACTACAGTGCATTTTTCTTCGACTAGTTAAGGGTATATTAATGAGTTTTAAGATTTTATTTATTTTTTAATTTATTACGGTAATTTTTTTCTTACACCTATTGATTCACTATTTTTTAAAAATTATTTAACGTTAAATATTGTAATAATATTTTCTTGATATGCTATTTAATATGCATCGGTTGAACCTATATTTGTCTTTGAGCTATGCCCAATAAATACAAAGCACAAAAGAAATAGGAAATAAAAATCCTTCGAGAAAGACAGAGAGAATTAACAAAAAATCATTATGGAAAAATGAGAATCATAGAATATTCCTCCTTTCATGTACAATGCATTCTATTTATAGGAGCCGACTCCACCTTAAAAAAACATCGTATCATTTAAAATAAAAGACTCAAGTCAAAAGGTCAAGGCGGGTCGTTTATACAATTTTAGCTCTTTAATGCTCCAAAGAACAACATCTTCGCGAGCTATTGAGTCCATAGGTAACCATCTAGACTTCCCACTAGAGCAACTCATTTACTTCTCACCGCGGATTGTGTCATTAGTGAGGAGGAAATCTAATTGTCAGGGCTTGACCTGTGTTTCAGGTAGGAGTAGAGGGGTTTTACAGTACTCGAGTGTAGTAGGATGTATGAATCTTATAGTGAATGAATGGTTAGTTGTTGCGGCATCTTTGAAGACTTATTTAATTTCTATAATTTATTTGTGGGAAGCTCATTCTTGTGAGGGACTAACCTCCCTTGTCGAGTTCCCCGAGTTCATGTCTGTCCGTCAATTTTTTTAAAAAAATGATTAGAATCTTTGAGAGAAAACTATCTCCACTTCCAGAGGGCTCTCCACACTTCTTTAAGATATGGACAAAACTGCGGTGAGTTCTTCCCTTAGCTTCTAAAAGAAATTTTTTGACTGCGATAGTAGTATTATGCATTATTAACATACAACCAGAAAAATGATTTCATTATAAATTTCTTTTCGAACTAAATTAATGTTTAATCATGCTATGAATTATAATATCTCAGAAAAGAAAATAAAAATACATAGATGTCAAGGATAAAAATTCTTGAGGTCATCTCCACTCCAAGTGGAGGTTTGTAGTTTTTATGCTCCCTGAACCACACGTTTGCTGACGATAAATGGTTTAGTCAATGTATGGTCAAGCTTTCCTAGGGTTTGGTCGTGAGCAGCTGGATTGGTTTTCTCGAGGACCATGTACCCTCTTTTGAATGACTTTTCACTTATATGTAGATTGTAATACCACATGATTCTCCTCCTAATCTTCTCATATTTGAGGGTCGACTGAATGCGTTCTTCCTCCAGTAAGTCGATTGAAAGTTCCAAATTATTAAAATCACTAGATCCTTAAGTTTGAAACATTTTCGAACTAAATTTAATATTTCTAAAATTTAAATGAAATACCAAATTTAGTTTTTTTTTGTTACACTCTCATCGCTTTGCCACATTGGATACTTAATAAATACGAGTCTCAAACTTTCTAAGAAAATTATCTTTTTGAATGATTGAGCGATGTTTATCTGTAAAATTTTATCAAGAATTTTTTTGTGTGCATTATTATACTTAAGTGGCTTTGAATACAAAAATGAATGGTATTTATGTATCTTTTTAGTATATTAATATTTACTTAATTAAGATAAATATGTAATTATTATACTTTACAAATTTACATTTTGAAATATAAGAAAAAATATGTAACTTTTTTTTTTTATTTTTTTTGGGTAAAAGAAGGGCCACACCTAGCTAATTCATTAACAAATGAAAAGGCTTTAGTTACAATTAAAGTACAGAACAAGAGAGAATTGCTAAGTAAAGCTTGTTCTCAAAATGCAAAAAATAAAGAGCATAGAAGAAAAAAAAAACAAATCCAGAAAGTAAAGTGGAAATGAATCCAATAATTAGCTCAAGAAGATCCAAACCGGCTTCAATGAAAAAAGGCTTCATTTAGGACTGTCGAGGACATACAAAAGAAAGCCACAGACATGTTAGCCCAAAAATTGAAGAAGATTGGTCTGTATCTTTTGAGTTATGCCACAAAACATAATCATTTAAGCCATAATAGACAACCACAGATTGCAATATCCAAAGAAAGATTGAACAAGGTGGTTCATCAAAATAAAACATATAAGAAGTTGTTGTCAACAATAACAAAAGCCACCAATATTAGAAAACAACAAGAAAATGCAAGCACATGTAGTGAAAATTGTATAAAAATATGTCTTATCAGTAAATATTGGAAAAGAGACATCTTAACTGTGTGAAATCACGACAAAAACAAAAATATCAATTAGAGAGATGAACCAAAATATACTAGCAAAAAATTAAAAAAATTGAACCTCACAGTTAGTAACAACATGGACTCAACAAACCCAAACGAACTCACTTTATATGGAAACATGGGCCAACATAAAAGCTTCTAGATTTGGGTAGCAACCAAGGAAGTATATCCAGATAATTATTTGGAACCACTGACATGGTTGGATTTCATTATAACACAACAAGAAAAAGCCCAAAGTAAATATATATTTGCATGAAAGGTTAATATGTGTTATGAGAAAAGAACAAGATAGTAAAAAGAATAAGAGAGCTTCAAGTTCTATAAATAGCGCATATTTGATTAGGTATCTCATATTTAAATTTCCTTATGTTGTTTTACTATCTGATTGTTAGGGGCATGTTATTTAAAAGCAAAATAAAACAAGTGAAGGAATTTTGAAAGATCTTGATATTATGTTTTATCAAAATATAAGCACAACTAAAAAGAATTTCTTAAGAAATTTTGCAAATATAAATATCAACATGATTAAGAACTTTATGAAGATTGCCCCCAAAAAGGAATAAAAATGATTGCCCCCAAGAAAGAAAAAAATTATATGCATTTACATACACAACACACAATTCTTATGTATTTACACATTTCACAATTAAGCTTCCCCATTTACACACATATCACTCAAAATTTTAATATCACATAAAAAATGGCACTCTTACCACTTTTAAAAAGTGAAATCTATCTTTCATGTATAGGTTTAATACAACAAAATTGTTATGTAAATTTGATATGTTAGATGTGAGTATGTAAATACATAAGAATTATGTACTACGTTTATAAATTTTCCATTAGGAATGCAAAGTTTAAAAAGTGTATGAGCATACGAGCATTCAAAAAATATGTGATTATGAGATTGCATCATACAATGACAAAAGACAAAAGTATGATTCACTATAATTCCTCTGTTGATAAGCATGCCATTAGTTTTAAGGCCACTGATGATGATTTTCCATATTGTTAGAATAAACATAAGAGAATAGCCCTTGCACCAAATATATATATCCCAATTAACTTTGAGACAACCTTCATAAATAAAAGGGTAAACCAGTTTATGAGAGCAAAGATTGGTACCCCACTAAGAGCAAACCTTGTTAGTATCACCAATGTGGGTATGCAAAATGAGTTGAGTGTAGTATTCTAGTGCAACATAAATATGTTGGTAAGGAGTTAATGTGATTAGAAATAACTTTAGAAAGTTTAGTGTATAGAAGACATGAGAATCATTTGAAAAAAGGTTTATTAAACCTATCATGAGGATAGGAGCTAAAAAACCAAGAGTCAAAGTAGAAAAAAAAATACTATTACTATAGTTAATATGCAAAATCATAAATCTTCTCATTTTAAGTCTCACTTGCATCAATGTTTTTCAAAATGTAGAAATTCTAGATCTCATTTTGAACAAAAGAGACAAATAAAAATTGAAAATATTATTATTATAGTTAATATAAAAAATCACAAATCTTCTCATTTTAAGTCTCGCTTGCATCAGTGCTTTCCAAAATGTAAAAATTCTAGATATCATTTTGAACAAAAGAGACACATAAAAATTGAAATACCAAATAGAAATATACAAATTAGAATTATAGTGCATCCAAACAATCTTAAATTTGCATATATTGTTGATGATGCCAATATTGGGAAGACCCAATCCGCCACACTCTTTTTTGTTGGTGGAATTGCTCTAAGCTACGGTATGCATTTTCTTCTTAGCACGATTATACTGAAAAAATCTGTTAAAATGAAAGAGACCTTCTTACTCAAGCCTTTAGGTATGATAATGAATCTAAACAAATGACAAATGTGTCTCCAAATAGTGGTCTTAATCAATTGGAATCTTCTATTAGAAGAAAGAAAGTTATTTTTTCAATCAGATAATAAATATTGTATTATATACAATATCTTAAGAAAATCATATGCTTTAAGCTTTCAAGAATTAATAGTAACACCCAAATAAATTCAAGGGAGGAACGAGTTGAAAAATCATAAGCTTGACAAATTTGTTGTTGCATAAGTGTGTCAATTTATTCATTAAAGCAAATAACATATTTATAACAATTATCACATAAATTACAACCAAATTAAATGTTTGGATGATTATTAAAGCCTGATTATTTATATAGTCAAGATTAGTCTCCCAAAAATCAACAAGTCATCAGTCTATATAAGATGAGAAATATTGTAGTCTTCGATGTTAATTTTTTCATCATTTACATTATAATATTGAGAGTTCTGAAATTAAGGAAGAATAACTATAACTATAGCAAATAAGTAATTAGATAAATTGTAGCCTTGCCTCAAGCAAGAAAGGGATTTAAAGTAATATATAATTTTAATAATAATAATAATAATAATAATAATAATAATAATAATAATAATAAATTAATTCGGGTGATGCAGACTAAACATTTGATAAAAATACAAGATAATTAATTGTGTGTGTGTGTGTGTGTGTGTGACTTGTGTGTGTGTGTGTGTGTGTGTGTGTGTTATTAATTTAATAATAAAATTTGTGTGTGTGTGTGTGTGACGGGGGGACCGCTACGCCGATAACCGCCGTACACGTTGTCGTAAGCATCTTCACAAATAAAAAACCCAGTCCTTTTCGCCATCTCCACCCCAACCGAATTTCGCACCCCCGAAACCATAGCCATGAATCAGCCTCCACCGGATCAACCCCATCTCGCAAATGCCTACTACGGTCCTCCCATCTACACATACCCGCAGCCGCCGCCGCCGCCGCCACCGCCACCGCCACACGACCATTCTCGCCGCCTCCTCACCATTGCCATGCGCGCGTTCATCGACTTCTGCGTCGCCTTCTTTCACGCAATCGCCATACTCTGGCTCATATTCCGCCCTCAGAGGATGCGAATCGCTGTAACATCCGCTTCCCTTAGCCGTTTCAACGTCACATCCTCCACCGGCAACCGATCACTTTCATTCGATCTCTCGACCAATCTCACATTCCGAAACCCTAACAAACGGGCCGGCATCTACTACGACTGGCTTGAAGCTCAAGCCGACTACGATGGGATGCGAATCGCGTGGAAGGGTCTGCCGGTGTTTTACCAGGGAAGGGAGGAGACGACGGATGTTGCGGTGGGGCTAGACGGGCGGTCAACGTTTGGTATTGATCGCGGCGGCGAGTTCGAGAGGGATAACGCTGCCGGAGTTTTTCCGGTGGGTTTGTGGATTTTCGGCCAGGTGAGTTACAAGTTCCGGTCGGCGGTGACCAGGAGTTATGTATTGAAGGCGTTTTGCCCGTTGAGGTTGCCGTTGGGGAAGGCTGAAGTTTCCTTGACTGATTGTAGGGTTTTGGTTCTATACAAATTTTATATTTTGTGGATGAATTTTATTTTATTTTTTTCTTTTTTTATATTAATGATTATAGTGTAATGCTGCAATTTAGGATTATTAATATGGATTTGGTGATTTTAATTTTGGGATGAATTGTATGTGTGATGTGTACATTACTTGACAATTGTAACCATTGAGCTATGCAACTAGAAAATATTACGTCTTGTAAATTGGAGTTGTAGTCAGTAATGTAGATCACATCAGGTTTTCATATGTACAGTGTGGTGTGGTGTGATATACTCGTCGTCTGCATGTCCGGATGATGAACATAATATATATATATATACACCATTACCATGCGCGCGTTCATCGACTTGTGCGTCGCCTTCGTTCTCGCAATCGTCATACTCTGGCTCATATTCCGCCCTCAGAGGATGCGAATCGCTGTAACATCCGCTTCCCTTAGCCGTTTCAACGTCACATCCTCCACCGGCAACCGATCACTTTCATTCGATCTCTCGACCAATCTCACATTCCGAAACCCTAACAAACGGGCCGGCATCTACTACGACTGGCTTGAAGCTCAAGCCGACTACGATGGGATGCGAATTGCGTGGAAGGGTCTGCCGGTGTTTTACCAGGGAAGGGAGGAGACGACGGATGTTGCGGTGGGGCTAGACGGGCGGTCAACGTTTGGTATTGATCGCGGCGGCGAGTTCGAGAGGGATAACGCTGCCGGAGTTTTTCCGGTGGGTTTGTGGATTTTCGGCCGGGTGAGGTACGAGTTCGGGTCGGCGGTGACCAGGAGGTATGTATTGAAGGCGTTTTGCCCGTTGAGGTTGCCGTTGGGGAAGGCTGAAGTTTCCTTCACTGATTGTAGGGTTTTGGTTCTATACAAATTTTATATTTTGTGGATGAATTTTATTTTATTTTTTTCTTTTTTTGTATTAATGATTATAGCGTAATACTGCAATTTATGATTATTAGTATGGATTTGGTGATGCTAATTTTGGGATGAATTGTATGTGTGATGTTTACACTACTTGACAATTGTAACCATCGAGCTATGCAACTAGAAAATATTACGTCTTGTAAGTTGGACATGTAGTCGGTAATGTAGATCACATCAGGTTTTCAAACATACAGTGTGGTGTGGTGTGATATATTCGTTGTCTACATGTCCGGATGATGAACATAATATATATATATATATATATATATATATAGATCTATGAAGTTCAAACTCAAGGGAAGCAATAAAGAAAGCAAACTAAGCATGAGTTATCGTTGTTTAAATTTAATAGAAAAGAGTTATATTTATTAAAACTATTTTAAAGTAAATTAACTTTATGCATTTAAGTATGGGATTTTTCAGTGCAAGAAAAAATGGCCAACTATCCGACCACTATCTAATTTCTGAAGGAAGTTAAATAAGGCACCAAAAATTGGGATCTCACACTAGTGGGTTAAATGATTGAAAGAAAACTTTTTCTAAAGTTATGTGATTGTATGTTTAGTTGAACTTCACATCAGTTGCTGATGCTGTGAAGCAGTTGGTTCTTGAATAAAGATCATATTGCTCTAACATATATGTGTTATTTGTAAGCTAATCATTTCATAATTAACTCACATAATAACATAAATGAATTTAAAAATTTCTTGAAAAGTTACAAGTCCAAAATATTACATTAACAGTTATACATCACATAACAATAAATATCACAAAAATTAAAATTATAATAACAAGTAATATGATCAATAATATTACTCTTAATGTCCAAAAGATCAAGTCCACTGGAAAACTTTCTTTCTAAAGCTACTCTACACACATTGGCACTATCTGAAGTGTACTTCTTGAACTCGTCACCCCATCTAAGTAAGTCTTATCCTCTTATGATCTATTTCTGGGGCACCTATAAAGCTTCCTCGATAGTTAGTTTCTCATCATTATGTAAAAATAAAACATTATAAATGATAGTTGTAGTATATGACTTTAGAGGTTATGGTAGTTCTTGAACTCATATTTCTTAACAAATCAGAGTTTAAGACATAAAATAAGCCTCTATTAATGTTACAATGATAAAGTTACAAAAAAAATTAAATAATAAGAATATCTATAATACAACAATAAAGTTTTTTTTTAAAAAAAAGTCTTAAATTCGGTATAAATAAATGAATAATCTGCATTATGAGATAATTGAGTACTAGAAATAAATTGATCTTGGTTGGCTTTAAGCAATTAATATCAAAATTTTCTATGTTGGAAAACACATTAGCATAAAGGTCCTCCAAAAGAACCCCAAGTCATATGAATTAAGAAGGAGATATTGGTTGCCTTGATACCAACACTTGTAAAATGTTAATAAAGATTTGTTGTGATATGAGAAACATACTATGAAATCTCTCTAGATGCCCTCTTAGTAGCTCTCCAATTCATTTGTTACCAATATATGACAAAGTGATACATGGTCTCATATATTAAATAACTCGTCATATTCATTTAATAAACACATTACGACAATAATACTATTACATCGTTGCTCTTCTTCTTTAACATTCATATATGCCGTCATAAATAGGTGTGTTTCAAGTACATAAATTAAATTAAAAGTAAAAAACCTTAATGTTCATAATTCACAATGAAAATAAAAGACCAATGGTTCATAAGCAATAGCATATAAAGCTCATGCATCATTGCTTTGAAAGAAGTGATAGGGGTAGTGAACATGTCTATTAGGGACTATTTACCTAAAAATCTCCCTCTTGGTAGGTTCAAAAATTTTGGTTGCAAAAAGATCTCGGGAATGTCATAAAATATTTCTTGAATTTGATCAAGCACTGTATTGGCATCAAACATCTACAGTGGTATCTTGACTATTGTAGAGGAGGCCATGCTTGTGCGTGCGGAGAGAAATTGTGAAATTTGTTCTCGAAAAATCCCACTTCTATCATATTTCTCCCACCAATGTTTTCAGATGAAGATGAAAGTTCAAGACGACTACTACTAGTTTTGCATGACTTTTCAATATGATCGTTTGAGTTGTCTTCATCTTCATGATTTTAACTCTCATTTACTCAGCATCAATAACTTGGTGTGTTGGAGTCCAAGCATGAACTCTCGTGATAACAACTCCAAACATTACATCAAGTTTTTCTTCCAATTCAGGATCTACACCAGCATATGTAATTTTTTTGCTTCATACAATATATATAATAAAAAATAATGTAAATGTGAATATTAGGTACTCATGCATATATATTTAAAGAGAAGATGAATAAATTTTATCTCTATTTTTTCCTTTCCACAAATAGGCTGAGGCATCAATAGTCTATTTAGTTGTCCCAACCCAACCCAGCTACACATTGGTTTAACTCCCACATCTTCGAATCCTTTTTATAAGCCATCCCATTTTTTTAAAAACGGTCGTATAATATTCTCTGGCAGTTTTTTCATTAAATTGTTTAATTATATTTTGTCACCCCTATTTATTAAAATACATGATAGGTCGATTGCCGGCCTGAATCTCTTACAAGCATATATCACAAAATATTATCATAATATCTCTCTATCAAGTTACACATATATCACCTTTAGATTCTTTCACCATAGAACTATGTAATATGAAGCGATTATGCAATGTCACATATCAAAGCTACTGACAATCATTGAAGTGTTATGTCTTTCATTCTAAAAAAAGATAAGTAAATCCCAAAAGAAGAGTCATTGGAAGCTTCAATAACAAAACATGTATATTTATGAAAAACTAATATGAAATTTTAATATCCTTAAAGTGTGAAGCGCAAAAACATTTCATTTCTCAGAAGAAATACAATGTTAAAAATTTCTATAAAGTTAAGAACATGTAAATGCAAAATTCACCTTCTTCATTTTTGTCTATCAAGACTGTTTTTTTACACTTCATGTAATGAAATCTAAAATTTGTGTGCTCGTGTATTTACATATCTAACAATGTTGAAAGCTTAACCAGAAATTTTTGGGCATACCAAAGAATTATGTTGTCTTTACATATCCAACAACAAAATGACATACTTTTGCATGATATTGTAAGAAAATTATGTGAGCTTAAACAACAATTTTCAGACATACGACACAATTATGATGTATTTACATATCTAACACTAAAATAGCACAATACTATTTGATATTGCAATAAAATATTGAGAGCCATAATATCTAAATTTGCGAACATACCACACAATTCTAATGCATTTACATATCTAACATATAATAATAATTATGATTCAACACAGAAGAGTGAGCAGTAAGCTAATGTGAGGAGCGAGCTAATGGAGAAAGGAAAGTTGCGAAGGTCTTAGCTATTTTTCTCTCAGTGATTGTAAGGACGAACATGTCTAACATCTAAATAACAAGCTTTTATTTACACATCTACCAGCTAAATACCATTTTTTCTTTCAAACCGCACATATGTATCACCCCTGCAGGTTGCAAATGCTCCATAAAATAATAAAGTTAAAATATCATGATCACAAAACTACTGAAATAAAAAAAAAATCAAGAGAATCAAAATTGAAATCATTCTGTGCAACTCGACATTCCAGGTAACATCAAAGGTTCAACAAAACAAACAAAGAACAAATGAGGAGATGAAACAGCTCAAAACCATTAATCTCATATACAACATCTAAGAACAATCTCAGACGCAAAATCACCTATACCAAAGTAAAAGCAAATGGAATGATCTCACTTGAAGCCAAACACAAGTCGTAGAGAGAAAAATAAGCTCACACGTATAAAGAGAGAGAGCGAGAGAGGGAGGGAGTAGGAGAGTGTGTGGGGATGAGCACTCAAACATAACATCTTGAGATTCTTCAATTCATTTCCAACCAACATACAACACATTAGAGCACCTTTTATAAACTTGATATTTATGAAAAAATTAGAAATATTAATTCTCCTAACAAAGAGGGCCAAAATGGGACATTTGTGGAAGATAGTGAACTCAAGAATTAAATTTAAGGATAGAGGTTATATAGGAGAATATGTAACCATGGTTGTGAAAATCAAATTTGTTCGGGCTGTTGAATTGTTCAAACAATGATCACTCCCAGTAATCCAATTAACAAAATTGTCTTTGTAGAAAATCAATACCAATCCATAAAAAGTGACAATCAAGCAGTAGCATTAGTTTGACTAGAAATTACAATATAGA